CTTCCTGCCGGCACTACTGATGTAGGGTTATACTATTATACTCTACACTTGAATGCTGAATCGCTGCGTAAGCTACATTCTAATGATATTGTGTCCCTTGGAATGCAGTGCAAAGTAGTTACTAAAATGCTATTATGATAAAACTCAACATTTTTAACCCCTTAAGGACCAAACTTCTGGAATAAAAGGGAATCATGACATGTCACACATGTCATGTGTCCTTAAGGAGTTAAATTGAGTCCTCAGCTACAATTAGCTAGTTTTACCCCTTGGTTTGCGAGGTATGTTTAAATTCAGAGATTTTTAAAAAAGTGCTCCTTTAAAAAGTGAAATCTATACACTTTACATAGCTCACCAAATACTGAATCTATGCAGATTTAGTGTAGGACGAAGCTATCTATTCTGTTTTCCGGATTACAATTTCCCTTTAAATGTGTACTTTACCTAACTCAAGGTTTCTTCTAAGTACTACTGCTATGACAGCAACATTATTGTTTCGGCAGTCGGTTTTATGTCTTTGATTCTCTTGGTGATTATCCATTCCTTGTACTCTTAATTTCCTCCTGTTATGTCTTCTCCCTCCCTGATCATAAACAAACTGTGGGGCTGTGTTTACCACTTCTACATAGGCAAAGTTTGATTATTAAAAATAAACAGAGGCTCAGTTGCTGCTCTCCCAAAGTAGACACATAAAATAACTGCTGTACACAATGTACTCTGGGAATTTGCACAGCTTTTTAATGTTTAAACAAGCAGGTTATTATAGTTAAATATGGTTTTCCCAGACTCATATTTGAGTTTTATGTTCATCTGTGCTTTTTCTGAAGCCACTCCCACTGCTGGAAAAGTTGCAAGCATATAATTTCAGTTATTTTTCAGTAACCAATAAAGCATGCTGATGTTCTAATAATTTGAATTTTAAAAATATAATCATACACAGAATGTCCATATATATATATCTTATTTTTTTAATTTAAATTTTTAGGACAAAGTAGGGTGTGTGCGTGTGTGTGTGTTTGGATAAAAACTAAAATTATGAAAATGTACTATTTTTGAACACACATTTAGTATAAAACGTGATGCACCTATTTTTTCCTCTTTTGGTAAGATGGTTATTTCTACTAGGTGTACATCCTAAAATTACATGCCTTGAACGTCTATTGGGATAGAACCTGTCATAGTTGGAAACCTTATTGATCTTTAAATTAGACACATCACTTTGTGGGTTGTATGAAATAACAGCTTAAAGGGAAATGCTAAGCATCATAACTAATACAGCTTATTGTACACCCTTTTCCAAATAATTATGCAAACAATATTTTTCTCATTTACCTAAATAATTGATTTAAATAACAGTCAGCATAATTCTCATGTTATCAACTTTTAAGAGTACAATTCAAATTGTATTGAACAAACCTCCTAATGATAACAGTATTTTTTTTAAACATAAAAAGCTTACAATGCACTGTTCCAAATTATTACGCACAGTACGTTTCAAAACACTTTATAGGTTGTAAAGAACTGAAAATTGTCATTTGTTGTGTTTGCAGCATATTTACTGAATTCAAAAGCTAATTCAATCAAACTTATAACAACATTTTAACTTTTTAAACATTTTAACATGTCACGTTACATTTTAACATAGGACCCCTTATTTGATAGCAGCTTCACAAGTCTTGCATCAATTGAACTTGTGAGTTTTTGGACAGTTTCTGCTTGAATTTGTTTGAAAGATGTCCGAATAGCCTCCCAGAGCCGCTGTTTGGATGTAAACTGCCTCCCACCCTCATAGATCTTTTGCTTGAGGATGCTCCAAAGGTTCTCAATAGGATTGAGGTCAGGGGAGGATGGACTTTCTCTCCTTTTATCCCCATAGCAGCCATTGATGCGGAGGTATTCTTTGCAGCATGAGATGGTGCATTGTCATGCATGAAGATGATTTTATTACGGAAAGCATAGTTCTTCCTTCTGTACCAGGGAAGAAAGTGGTCAGTCAGAAACTCCACATACTTTGCAGAGGTCATCTTTACACCTTCCGGGACCCTATAGGGGTCGACCAGCTCTCTTCCCATGATTCCGGCCCAAAACATAACTCCACCATCGCCTTGCTGACGTCGCAGCCTTGTTGGAACAGGGTGGCCGTCCACCAACCATCCACTACTCCATCCATCTGGACCATCCAGGGTTGCACAGCACTCATCAGTGAACAGGACTGTTTGAAAATTATCCTTCATTTATTTTTCTGCCCAATGCAGCCATTTCTGCTTGTGAGCATTGGTTAGTGGTGGCCGAATAGAAGGTTTATGCACAGTTGCAAGACTCTGGAGGACTCTACACCTTGATGTCCGTGGGACTCCAGAGGCACCAGCAGCTTCAAATATCTGTTTGCTGCTATGTAATGGTATTTTAGCAGCTGCTCTCTTGATCCGATGCATGGATCTGGCAGAAATCTTCCTCAATGTGCCTTTATCTGCACAAACCCGTCTGTGCTCTGAATCAG